CCGCACATCGGAACCCCAAAAGAGGTCTTGAATGAGATCGAACAAGGCCTTGAAAACTTCAATCATCCCCGATGTCCCGCACGAAGATGTTTCTCTGTGGTGGCCGCTGTTTCAAGCCTGTTACTTCTGGATAAGGCTTTTTGTAACTTCACTTGGAGACTGCTGCAGGATACGCTGAATGAGCTATATCTTCGTCAAGAAGCAAAGCTGTCAGCTGCCGCAGGCTTGCAGCTCATCGGATCCAGGAGCTGTTTGTGCTGCAATGTCAACCTTCTTTATTGTGCCTCAGGTCCCTACAATGCGCCGCAGGTGCGCTTGGTTGCGCGGTCATTCACGTCTGTTGCACCCTGCTCAACTTTCTGCTGAGCACCTTCATTCTCCAGTTTCTGTTTGCAGGAGTTCATGTAGATGCAAGGTCCACTTTGCTTACGCTTCGTGATATGGAGAAAATGTGCTGTCTTTGAATTAAATCATTGCAGAGACATGTAATTTACTCGCTAACGCGAGACCGCCTCGGCACAACCTGCTGAGGCTAGAGAGCACAGGCGAGGGGCAGTTGTGACCGTCCCTTTTCCCGGACTCCCTGCCCTCGGCGGCCCCCCACGGCCCTGAGACTGGCCTCGGTCGTTTTTGGGCTTTGACCCACTCCCAGAAGATTTGGCGGCACTACGCCGCGATTTCATGGAACCAGTGCTTCGTGCAAGAGTCAACTGCACACAGTGCCCGAGCATCCATGGATTCATAGCTGGCCTGTGCTTTATCCAGTTCTTGCTTTCTCTTTTGCTCTTTCTCCTTCGAGCTTGCTGTCTTCTCACTCCAGAATCCCATCAAACTGCGGGTTTTGGGCTCTGACCAAATCAAAGCCCGTTCTATGAGCCGCTTGGTTGCATCTGAAGAGTAATGACCTCTTAGCTGATCGGTGTGTTTGGTGATTTTCGCAGCAGCTTTGGCTTGGAGTACGACTGGCTTGTTGTCTGAGCGAGATGCTGCAAGAACTGAGCCTTATGCTGCTGGAAGAACACCCAACACTCCTTCGCGTGCTTTTGCCGCATGGTTTCCAGGCTTGCTCCAAATCATAGGCCCTCATAGGTGCATTATTATGCTGCGCGTTCGATGCTTCCAAGAAGATGGTGTCGCTACCGCTTTGTACTCCTTGGCAAATTGCCATTCCCTGTCACCCTCAACAGCGAAATCATGGTGCACGGAACCTGCAGCCTCGATGCCATCATACTTGGACTTGAGATTTCTCTGATGGAACAAGCGTTCAATTCAGCGATCCCGTTCTTTAGAGATCTGTCGCCTGATGTTCTGCACCCTGGGATCTAGCGCATGGAACACTTTGTCTGGATTATCGTCTTGAGGTGCCGTGTCCATCCGTTGACGGACGTCTCTGGCGTCTCTGGCACGCAAAGAATCGTGATTGTGTGAAATCAGACAGCAGCCGCAGCTGCTGCTGCTTCATGTTCGACAACAGCTGCTGGAAATGCTCGGCTTGCTGCCACAAGATTGGCTCCATCACAGTCTGCAACTGCTGCTGTTGACCTTGTTGGAACATGTGTGCTGCGGATGTCAAACTACCGTTGGCACCCAACTGCGTCGGACCACCCCCAGTCCAAGCTGCAGCAGGGCCGAAGTTCGGCCCACCGGGTCCATCAATGGCTTAAGTATTGGGGAATGCTTTCCTCCGGAAAGTCACCATCAGCAATTGATTTACGGTGGGCGCTTTCGCCTTTCGGCTTGTCAACCTTGTGCCGAAATCGGTGTACATCATGCTGCTCTGCCTGCTTTGACATTCGTGGCAGCCAAAGTTGACTTATTCATGCACTGTGGTGCATGTTATCATGTCTCGGCTTGTTTTAAAACAAGGCGAAGCACGGGCTGACGCTGCCAACTCAAGCTACCGCCGCAACCAGATCTACAGGAAAACGCTCTGAGACCGAATCCGCGTACCTTGGCTTTTCTAAGCTGCTCCTGGTGCAATGTCCGCTGCTCTGGGCGCCAGCGGCGGCTGCTACAGGGAAAGGCACCAAAGCAATCCTGCGTAACCGAAGTGCCGAAGTTTTCAAATCCCCCTCAGAAAACCCTTTGGTGGGGGCGTACACCATTTTTTGTAATACGGACATCCATGGCATGAAGTAACGCTATCCCCCGACCCCCGTGGCTTTGATTGAAGCAGAAAGAATTCCAAGGTTTCTCCTCGATTTTTGAAGAAACGCTCGTCGGGTCGGGAAGGTCCCCCCATTTAATACTATGAAATTGGGGGTCCCCAGCTCAGGGTTCTTAGTATCCGCTTTGCGCCTGGAGCAGAAGATGGAGGTGTATGGCTTATAGTGGATGCTTCATCGCATGTACAATGCGCGCTTTGAAGAAGACAGTGCAGGTGTCTTCCGCCGGGCGGTCTATCCGCAGAAGGCGGATGATTGGTATACCTTCTGCGCTGTAGCGCAAGACTGGTATGCCTTGTAAACATTTGAGAGCCTGGATGCATCTACATCAAAACCACGACCACTTTTTCAGGACGCGAGCGCATTCAATCCTTCGGGGGGATTCAATGCGCCCGTATCTTGGAAGAGTGCATTCTGCGTTGGAGGTCCTCGTGGCAAGCGATGATCCCATGCGCACGTTGCACGGACGGAGGCATGCAAAAGAGAAGCCCGCGCCAGAGTTGACAAAATTAGGGACTGATCTGACGTTGGTTGCACAACTGGATGAGACATCCGACTACCTTCCTTCAAAAAGTCTTGGAGCACTGCTTGGGAAAGATGCTGCTCCCAGCGGCTTATGCATCTGGGCAGCCCGCCCTGGCCAAGTCTCATCTGCGGTTGCGATGCTCGGCCAACACCTTCGAAGACTGAATCAGACATCCGACCCTTCGCCAGGCTGATGGGATCCAACCGTTCGCCGCAAGTCAAAGTCAGACTTGAGCTGTTGAATTCGTCAGCACTCAAAGCAAACTCTTTTGATCTCTTTTGCAACTTCTCGAGTGTGAACGCGGATGGAACCTGAATAACAGGAGCTCCAGGACAAGAGTACTTGGTGATTGCCGGCATCGAGTTGGGCAATCAGTTGAAGGAGGGTTTGCTTTATGATTTATGAGGAAAGGAGGACGAAGGACGAGATTTGAGATCCAAATGGCCGAGCGAAAGCTTGAAGGCGAGAAGTTCGGTGGGTACCACTTTCGGGGCTAGAACATGTGAGAACTGAAGATGGCTTCGCAAGACAAGTGCCGGTATGGCTGCTTCGTACGACCTTTCTATCACGGAGTAACACCCTATCGTTGTCGACGATGTCGAGGCCGAGTCTTTGGAGGACAAGCGTAAACAAAATCGTGAGAGTGTGTACACCTACAAACAAGATTTTTTCACAGACGTGGAATTATTGAGTTTAGAACTTTGCGGTGATTGCGACCCTCGTGTTCAAAATGCCACAGGCCTTGATGCAATATGGGGTTGTTCTAAAGATATTATAAAGAAAGGGCCGTTGGGAATACACTTCCTCGAAGGGACGCCCTATGGCCGTTTCACAGAAAGGTATCTTGAAGGCACGTTGAAGGGAACCCGTTAAAGCGTGCCAGCGCAGAGCTGGTACTTGCGATGCTTCCTGGGTTCACTTTCATGACGCTGTTGATCACCGGACAAAATCTAGATCTGATGGCTATACATTCGGTGCAGGTGTGGCTCGGGGACATGGACTTGATTTCTAGGTGCAGTGCTCAAATAGGAAGGCAAGACACGTTTCGCTTCATCCAGCGATGTTGATTCAAATGATCGCTTGGCAGGCAAAGTCTCGACGTCTCCATGGATCCATCCCTGTACACAGGTGCTGCTTTCTGTGCCACAGACTCCCCATCAATTTCCAGTATTGCAAGGCAAAAATCCGATGAGGCAGGCTGAGTCTTGGGTGGTGAGTGCAGAGCACCATGTGCAGAACGCATCGCATGCAGCTTTATGTGGCATACTCCAGGCTTGTTGCTGGCCTCTGTCTCAGTCTTTGGAGTGGTACCCGTGAAGCGTGCTGGCTTGGCAGTTGTAAGGTTCTCTTCGGGGACCTGCTGTTCAGGCGCCTTTCCTTGCTTGAATCCCGGTTGATGTTGCTTGACGTGTGTATTGTCAGGATTTGGACACTTTTCAAAGGCTTCATGATGCTTGCAAATACTGGCTTTAAGCTGCAGAGTCACGGAGAGTACAGAGCCTCCTGCGACCGCAGTGCTTGTATCTCTGGTCGAAGCTTCGCCAATCTCTTGATGCCTACAGAAACAGAATCAACGGTTTTGTTAGGTCAGTTGACCGCATGATTTACATGCGGCTGCTGGTGGGTGGCCGTGACCATTTGGGCTGCCTCACAACTTTTAAGATTCTTTAAGTCTACCGGAGGAGGTTTATGCGCCTCGGAGCACTGCTGACATCATCTGCAGTAGAGATCAGTAGAGATCACGCGAATGTAAGTGTAAAGCATCACCTTGTATCACCTGCCTAAGGCCTGGCTTCCTCTGGTTGCATTGATGATTTTCGAACAAGCAGGCAACCTGCCTACACTTGACCTTGCAGGAGGGTGTCTTCCGTATCAAGGGGGGGCGCGTGAGCAAGACGACTGGTTTTCCAAACTGGTCTCGCAACTCTTGGGTGGGAAGAGTACTGCGAGGCTGTGCAACTGTACATATCCTTGGCAGCATGTTTGCAGCGCCCTAGCTCAAAGCGTTATAGTGAAAGCTTCAGCTTTCATCATTTGCGTTGCAAATACCCCATAGCACACTTGGCCCGTCGGTAAAACAACTTCTGCAGGGTATGTCCCCAAGAATGGCATACAACCACAGCAGCATGCTGGCAAGAACTTTGAGTCTTCAAGCTTGCTCGATGGCCAGCAATATTCTGGGTCAAGCTCTTCTGCAAGTTATCGGCTCTGCAGGCCGCCAGCATCCGAGGTCAGCTGCGTTTTGCTAAGCCCAGCTAGCCTTGCTTTGCGTTGGCAAACGCAGAATTTGCAGTTGCACACCACAGGCGATGTCTCGGCACTCGAAACATTCCAATGACCGGATGTTCTTCACCGCTAAAGAGCGTGCAGATGCCGGATACTCGAAGACACGCAAGGACTCCTGCTCATGTCAGGCGGAGATCTAGAAAACATTGTGAAGCCTGGGAGGAAGTGATGGGCACCGACTGCTTCCTTCCATTTGGCTTCTGTGGTCTCTCGCTGAAGGCCCCGAAGGACTGGCTGTGGCTCCCTTTCTGAGTGCGCTCATTTTGGTGGATCATTCTGGATCAGCTCTTTCCCACAAGGATCCAGTTGCAACGTGCTGCGCTCGATTGAGCTGTGGGGCACGGGCGAAACGGCTTTTTGACTCCGTTGTGAGGCCTGATGGCCACATCTTTGATCGAGAAGCCATCCTCGAATGTCTCTTGCAACAGAAACTTGACATCCAGGTGCTGAGTGAAAGCATCGGTGTTCGGCATGAGTCTAGGGTTCTGGAGCAGGCGGAGCAGAAGAAGTTTGAGGAGCAGGCCAGCTTCTGCAGAGACGCCGGGTGCAGCAGATCAGTGCATGTCAGGAAAGAAGGCGTGAACAAAGACTTCAATCAGCCGAGAAGGACGTGGCGGCCCAATGAGAGAGCCTCTGCTCTGCATACCTTCCTCCCCATGCCTGGGACCATGCTTGAGGTGGAGCTGAAAGAGCTAGAGGCTTTCACAAGAGCCGAGCAAGGCCTGCTATCTCAGGACGCCGTGCCATCCATGCCTGCAGCATGCAGGTACGTACGAATTGCAGCTGTCCTGCAGGACCACAGGCACAAACGGGCCCTGGAACAGGCAGACACTGTACGGGAAGGCGTGTCTTTGGCTTAGATTTTCGATGACTTGAGTAGAAGGATCAGCAGAAAAACAATCGCCAAGGCCCGAAAAAAAGCTTCGAAGGGGTGAACTTCTAGTTGTCGACAAGAGCCAGCTGCGTCTTCTCTAAATGGCACGGTTTTAGCTAGACAAGACAATTGGTCCGACAAGCCAAGGAGAGCCAAAAGCTTTTGGACGAAGGAGCCGCTTTTGAGAGGTCTTGGCCTGGCAGATCTGATGCGCTCCAGGAGTTTACACCCACAGCTGCTCCAACCGAAGTAAAGAAGGCTCAAGACCTTGCGGTATTTCTAAAATCTAAACAGGAGCTACAATGAGCTACTTGATGCTACTTGTAGCAGGTTGATGCAACCACCAAATGTCCGACAACGGGCAAAAAGCTGAAGGTGAAGGCCATAATCACTGACTGGATAGCAGCTTGAATTGAAGCAGCTGATGTGCAGGATCTCATCCCTGTGAAGATGGAAATTGCGGACCAGAAGCTGATGGACCAGGGAGGTGGTAGAAACCCTATGAGGAGGGCAGGTGAACTTCCATCAGTTCTTGCACTCGTAGAGTCGTAGAACTGAGGAAAAGGCGTATACTGCTGCGCTGTGTCCAAGAATCCGATAATCCATCAGCAGGCAGGCAGTATGACTGCAGATTAATTGCCGATGCGAGTTCTTGCAAGTTGATTGTAGAGGCGCTCCTCCTGAAGCCCAGCGGAGCCTCGACCTTAAAGGCACTGTGAAGTGCAAGGCCTTTCCAACTTGTCCTGCAATACTGATCAAGGATGAACCCGGGGGCAAACCCGCCCAGAGCATATGCATCTGCACAGTATCCTTCGCAACATAGCCACCCCCTACGTGAGGATATTAAGGGGGGAGTCGTAATGGGAAAATATGCTTCCTCCTCCTATTTCTGGGGGGGGGGAGTGGTTGGAAATAAGAGGAAATCCAGGAAAAACATGGGAGAAAAATGATAGAACAGATTTTAAAGT